TGCGAAAGTCTCACAGATGCCAATAACTGATACACTTCGGGACTTTCATTATCAACATCTAATGCTTGATTTAAATATAGATCACACTTCATTTCAGCATCTGGTTCAAAACTAATCAGTCGGGTGGGAAAAGGAAAATGTTTAGAACAAACATAAAGACATTGTTATCAAGAACTATCGAGTCTGTATGTTTACCAACAATCAGTCAAATATATTTCCGTCATGGAACATAAGGCACTTGAAATTTTCCGACGTAGCGTCTTTGCTTCATCCAAGTTGCCTTCTACTTGGATTAATTCATTACTCATCAAATCTACGCCTTTTTGAAAATATCTCACAGAATCAAGGCCTTCACTCATTTGTCCCATGTACATATATTTCGAATAGCCTTTGGTTGGGGATATTGATATTGCTTTTGCAAAGTGCTAGTAGAAACGTGAAAAGAAGCATTCGTATTGGATATATTATGCATTGATTTCTTTACACAAGGCAAATCACTAAAATTTACCTCTTTCGCCTGCTCATACATTTCCAATTCTAACTCTATGGTGCCTGTTGTCTCCAACAATTGGGTATTCTCTGGCTCAATGCTCAACGCTCTTGTACATAATGTGTGTGCCGACTGAAATTCGCATGTATCGATGAGTGAGGCAATTTTCTCTAAAAGATCAGTCACATTAGAATTAGCCCCAATGTTTCTTATGACAGATTGGGATGTCGTCGGTGTTGCTGTTGATGAAGTCATGATTAAAAACAAGGCCCCGTACGACGAAGGTCAAAATTTTTTGTGTAGATATCTACATGGGATTACTGTACTACAGTCAAACCTCGTTATATCGAATTTTCGTTTTACCTGCTTCCCCCATTTTTAATTAGTAAAAACTCGTTATAATAATAACGAAATCTTCTGTAATAGTTATACCGTCACTGATTCGATACCAAGGATTTTTGCATAGGCTACTAATTACAAGTTTTCACGTGATCAAAAATAGAATAATGATTGGCTGTATAGCAGATGATTCGCTAGGAAGAAACAGACGATGAAATTATTTCTTCCTGCAGACAAAGAGAATGTTGATGATAAAGGTAGTTCAAAATCTTCTCTACTAAAGGCGCAGTAAAGCCTTTCGTGCATTGTGGAATTGCATAGCAAAACAAAGTCGAATAGATTAAACGAATAGACTCATTTGTTACTGATTAGTCAACTCTTTTACTGTATTTGTTTGTAATATTACGTTATATAGCGGCATCTCATTATCATTCCTCATTATCCCGACATTTCGGTATAAGAGGTCTGACTGTACTTTTACGTGAAACAAATGCTGACTAAATATGCTTAATAATTAGGTTAGAATTTATGTGGGGGCTTGGTGTCAGAACTGTAATTATGATTGTTTATTGATCATAATATGTTGTTAAGTACTTAATATATAAAATATATAGCATACGTAGTAGTCTCTATTCTTTATGCGGGGGTAAGTTCAGCTTCGTTGATGTCAAACTTGCAATTTGTTTGATTGGTTCGAGCGTAATTGCCTTTTCTTAGCTCTATTGGCTTTTCCTGCTTAAGGGATTTTCGCTCTTTCTTGTGGATATGAAATCAGTGTCTTGACGGTTTTATTGAGGTTTCTGATGTGGGGATTAATATTAACAGTCTCATGTTTTTTCCGATAAGGGTTGGGGTCGAGTGGTCACGGGATATTGACGAAGGGAAGGTCGAAATCATAAAGAGCTTATTGTTATATATATATCTAATATCTAACTCGCCAACGATGAATACTTGCAAGATTTCTTTTGTCAGAATTGTGACAATATCAAGTTCTGCGAGTTTTATTGCGGAACCGTACCAGAGACGTACTGTATGGCCTGCACTGCGAATATTGTCGTATTTTTACAAACTTGAACTAGAGATTTAATTAGTGCCGAGCCTTCGTAGCCCAATTTCGAGCGTGGGAGAAATTTTTTGAGAATTGAACGGTTGGACCTGCGGGATGCGTTGCAAAAAGGACCATTAATATTAATAGTGGTTTGCGTAAAGGTTTATGTAATCTACTGTATACGTACGGTAATATTATTAATGTTATTACCTCAGCCAGTTCAACGACGTCATGGGCGACCAATCGGGTTTTGGGCACATAAACTCTAAAGCGGATGGCAATAGGTTCGCTTGCAAAGTTAAGAAATATTCCTTTAGCTTTAAATATTTGGTGTTCAGGGAGTGATGATCCATAATGAACTTCGATAACATGCACAGTTGAGTCGAGATGGACGAACATATTTTCTGTTGATAAATAAAAGAAGAGTGTCTTTTTGAAGAGCATATAACTGGTTATAAATCGAGTATCCGTCGTGATCTGCAAACCCTTGAATAATCCGGCTGTAACAATACTGTCGGATCTTTTTAAGAGAGAGTCGTCCAAATACATGTTTATTATTGGTCATAAATCAAAAAATCATATTTGCTTAACAATTAACCTAAATAACCATGATAATAATCCGAATTGTTACGGGAAAAGCGGTACATGACGGTGAAAGCGGCGGATGCACGGGAAAAGCGGCGGGTAAATACTAGTTTATTATATCTATTGCTTGAAAGTTTAAAAATAATTTGGTAGAAAGCGTTTACGGTGAATGGTTGCAATAATATTCTCAATTAAGATAGCGCTACAATACTCCCTTTAACGTAAAGTTTTACGATATATTACCTCGTTTGACGCTAACATCATTTGTTAAAAGAAATTTGATTTCAATATAAATACTATAGTAATAGTTGATACTTTTTGTCGAAAAACCGAATTTTCATTTTAACATAGTTATTCCGTTACAACCACACAAAAAAGGTGAGCTATTTTTAGAATAAGCTGCTTATTATTTCTAAACAGAAATACCAAAATGGCGTATTTACATGATCGGTACATGTGAAAATATGACCGAAAATAGAACAAAACAAAAGTTGTAGGTGCCACATGATCGACCCTCCTTATAGTCACATTGTCGGGAACAATGCAATTTTGTTGAGGTGACTATATAGAGGTTTTTTAATAAGTTCAATAGTAATAGTAATTGATATTTGGTTCTCATAGTGTGATGTGCTTATAGAGGGGTGACTATAAGGAGGGTTGACTGGTTTGGTGAAACATCATAAAATGTTTGTTGTAAGTAATGCACGCCAGGGATGGTACAATTATATCTGAAGGATTTACAGGAGAAGTAAACTCATTACTTGCGGCCAGACAGTCAGGGAATTTACGTGCGAACAAATGCGAGGCAATGAAATAATAAGCGGACAAATAAGGATTACCTCATCACTGACGTAACCAAGGATGGATGATACCAGGAGCACATAAGTCCAGTTTGCAATTACGTTCTAGAAAAGGATCGACTAAAGGATAGATGGGAAAAAGATATTTCCATTTAGTATATGATATACGCTGAGGAGAGTATGCACGCTCTATTATCAGAATTGATTTGCATCCATCGCAAACTGCAATAACAATAAGATATACTTCTAACGGATACGTATACAAGGATGCATGGAAATTGGGCATAATCTTATCAAAATTTTTTGAGAAGAACGCCAATACGAGATATTTAAAGCTGGGTGAACGTCATCGAAAATAAGGGAATGCCATTAAATGTAAACAAATTCGTTAGTTTGAAGAGAAAGGTTGATAGCATGTATCGATTAACGATTAGCGTTATAGCTTGTGAGATAAATGTATATATTTCCGTGCATCCAATTTATTTTTCACACGAAATTAAATTTTGTCTCTTTTGTTGACTATGACATACTGTTTATTATTATTACAATGAATTTTTGCACGATTTTGCCACATGGGAAATATGATCAAAGAATGACGGAAGCAAATGTATTCTGCTATAAAAGCGCTCCTCGATGGGCGGGTACTACGTCTACAAGATTTCTTGTAAAGATCTACAGAGGAAATTGCTATAAATGTGTATTTGAAAGTTAGCGCTACTGGAAAAAAGATTAGGAAAAAATTCACGAATAAGCATCAGAGAAAAATCAAAAGCAGTTAGTATTGTATGGCGATGAATTGTGCTTATGAAAAATCATACTAATACACTATTTGACTAAGCGTGCCTCCTGGTTTCTTCACTAGCTATCCTTTACTTTCGAGAGTGCTATGACAAAAACCAACGATACTACTAGCGCATGGTCTCCTTCATCATGGAGACTGAAATCAATAGCGCAATCTGTCGAATACGAAGATCAAAAGCGGGAGAAGCAAGTTGAAAACAAACTAAAGCAGTTACCACCTATGGTTACACCCGGTGAGGTATGACGTACTGTTATAAAAGAGCACTCCATTTTTCGTGAATTTTGTTCTAATAATACGTGTCAATATGTTAATCTCAGATAAGAAAGCTTAAGGAACAACTCAAACAAGTTGCCCTTGGCGAAGCCTTTTTATTGCAAGGCGGCGACTGTGCCGAGTTATTCGAATATTGCTCACAGGTATGTGTGACAGGACTGATTAGTTTTCACCGGCCATGCATTAATTACCGATCTTTTAGGAACCGATCGAATCTAAACTGAAAGTGCTGCTGCAAATGAGTCTGGTTATTACATGGGGTGCTCGCATTCCTATAGTACGTATGGCTCGCATGGCTGGTCAATATGCCAAACCAAGATCAAGTCCGACTGAAATGGTCAATGGTCATGAAGTCTTTTCATTCAGAGGAGAAAATATTAATGGATTTGATCCAGCAGATAGAAAACCGGATCCTGACAGACTCTTGAGGTAGGTTATTGGTTAGTCAAGCGAGAGGCGCGTATATTTGTGCATACCGTATTAATAGCACGACTTCATTGTATCTTAGGGCTTATTTTCATTCAGCTGCAACTATGAATTACGTGAGATCCATAATAGGTTCCGGGTTTGCAGGTATGTTTTTCGGGGCACGCAACCTGCATATTATACTTTCAACCAGTTCACAACTACTTATTATATACTCTTGCCAACTAGATCTTCATCATCCTTCACAATGGTCTCTTCATCATGTCCGCTCAGAAACAATTCGTCAAGAATATTCGCATATCGTCGATAGGTTGACCGATTCATTAAGTTTTATGCACACTATTGGTGCCATCTCGTCACCTTCCACACAAATATCTTCTCCTCTGGCTTCTGTCGACATATTTATGTCACACGAGGGTCTCGTATTGCCGTACGAAGAATGCTTAACAAGGAAATTGAAAGATCCGGTAACGGACGAATTCAAATGGTACAACGTTAGTGCTCATTTCTTGTGGATTGGAGATCGAACGCGGCAGCTAGATTCAGCCCATGTCGAGTACTTTAAAGGGATAGAGAATCCAATTGGTATCAAGGTCGGTCCTAGTATGAAATCGGATGAATTAGGTCAATTGTTGGATGTGGTCAATCCAAAAAAAGAAATTGGAAAAGTAACTTTGATTACTAGATATGGGGCTAGAGAGGTACGGACGATATTTTGCGCTTACTAGATGCTGTTATGGTAGACGTGACGTGGAGATGTTATTGCAATTTAGAATTTAACATATTATCAAAATTAAAAAAGGTGGATAAGCATCTTCCTGGACATATCGCGGCTGTAAAAGAGTCGGGACACGTAGTCGTTTGGGCTTGTGATCCAATGCACGGAAAGTGAGTTGTTTCTATAAATCAAAGAATACTTTAAAAGTCTGATATTAAGTCAAGCGTTATCATTAGCACAGAGAGGTCCTTATCGGGCGTAAAAACACGATATTTTGATTCGATAATCGAGGTACGGTAAAGACCAAAGTGACATTTTTATGTAACGCTACTGTGAAGCTGACTTTCTCAATTATTAAAGGAGCTTTCAAGAACCATACGCATCCATAAAGCACATGACAGCCAAATGAACGGCGTGCACTTTGAATTGACTGGAGATCGAGTTACAGGTACTTCAATCATGACAACCTGTTAATTTAATTCAATACCAATATTTACGTTTATTGCATTCTTCTTGCAGAATGTATTGGGGGATCAATGGAATTGGCGGATGAGGATTTGTCGCTGAACTACAAGACTTACTGTGACCCAAGACTGAACTACGAGCAGAGCATGGATATTGCATTTCTAATTGCAAGATACTATGAAAAAGAAAGAAGGGGATTGCCAAGCATATGAAATATAATTCAATCGAATAGAAACAAAATATCTAATTGCATAGATAATAATTTATAAATCTTTATCTTGCAGAAGACATAATATTATAATTCATCACCTCAATCCTAATAGGACCTAAGCAATGTATTATCATATAGTAACTAACGTATTATAATAGTCAGAAATAATCATGCATATTGCATTTCTAAACATTGCAATAAAATGAGATATCTATTATTATTATTATTATGGCAAGTTAACAAACCATCGGGCGGGAAGAATTTTTTGACAATACTCGAGTTGACTAAAATAATTAGTTTATATTTCGGATATTGTCAGCTAACTTTAAACAAGGCGCTAATTCAATTAAGGCGTTAGAGGCATATTATTCGATATTCTGGATCGTTAACCTAGGATTAAGCTATTATACAAATTTAAAATACCATATCATTATATGGTGCTAGTTTTGAACCAGAAGAAGAGAATTTATCAGAACAAGCTATTGATTTGTTTCTTTATTCAATGATTAAAAAGGGCGACTAAATTTCGATTCGTTGATTCGGGAAGTTAGTATTTGATGAGTGCACTATTAAGCACAATTCAATACTTCGACGCACGCTCGAACAATGAAATTTTTACTATCACATTCTGTTCCGCAGAATACTCCAATCTTGTCGTTATCAAGTAGTTACAAGTAAATATAAAGGTCTGAAACGTTCAAATGAACAGTTTACATTTGATATTTTATACAGGGAAATCGCGTGCAAATTATCGGAACTTACAATCACGTGAATATTTCTTGGAAATTATTCAAAATACGAGAATCTAGCAAAGTTCCAGTTGCCGAATTACCGGACTCTTTGCTCACGAGTATTTGTGCAAGTAAACTCGTCAAGTGTGAAGTAATTTATTGCGTCATCTTTGAATGTAGTTCTGGGCAATTGAATTTGAGGAGCATCTTAATTAAACGTCGAACTTTACAAAATGGACCGGCTATTGGACAATCCCGTGATGCGCCACCCCTTTTTTGTGTGTATTTATATTCTTGATCAGAAATCTACATTTCAATAATTGTTAAAATGGAAGAATTACAAAGTCTGATCCTTTCTACGCTCGATAAAGAGAACACCATTCCCGATACTGGAAAGCTTACTAATGCAGAAGGAAAACAGCCGGATCAGCTGGCGTTGTACGCAGCACTCAACAGTTTAGCTCTCAAAGAGGTTAGCGTTTTGTTGTAAATGAATGTTGAGGAATTCGAACAAGTCTTCTCTAAATTCTTGATAGTCTCATTACCAATGGAACGGCTATATAGATGATCGTTTACGACGCACTCGAGAGTGAAATATGGACATTGACTGCAGAGGGTAAAGAGATGGCGAACACTGGGAGTTACGAAGTTAAGGTCTTTGAAGCGATTCCTTCCGGAGAAACTGGAATTTCAATATCAGAGCTACAAGTAAAGTATTTTGCTGTGATCTTGTTTGTAATCTTCCTAAGCAAGAATCTTGCTGTTAATCTGTTCTCATGGTTTGTTTGACAGGGACTCTTAGGAGAGGCCGCAAAAATCGGCCAGGGAAAAGCTTTCAAGAATAAATGGATTACAAAGAAAGATAACAGACTTTTTCGAGCTGTAAGTTGAAGGTTATTCGACACTATGTATGGGTTTATTCATGAAATCTTATTGATCTATTTATCTCGCGAGTAGGTAGAGTCTGTTGTAGATCAAACGCGTCTAGACCTTGAGGCTATCTCAACAACAAAGACGCATCCCGATAAAAAGGTTCTTGCCGAGCTCAAAAGAAGAAAGCTATGCGACAAAATGTACGTTTTGCTTTCGCGAGCATAATTGCTTTACGAACGGATTCTTACCTTTTTTCTATTTTATTAGCAAGCTTGTTTCTTATTCCGTTTCTAAAGGACCTAAATTCTCGTTAACCATCGAGAAGTATGCTACCGATGTAACGTTCGAAATGCTCCAAAGGTATATAATATATATACGTATGCGTGTTTGTTTATATGTATAGGTATAATGTGGGAAGCAAGTTTCACTTTATCGCATATTTTACTTGAGACTTTTGTTTATTCGAACAACCCAATAACCGTCATCTAACAACTACTCTTCGCCAGCGGAGAATGGAAATCTGCCCAGTTTAAAAAATACAACTTCGATGCCTTGGGCGTACCTCCATCGGGTGGTCATTTGCATCCATTGATGAAGGTTCGCGAAGAATTTCGTCAGATTTTCCTTGAAATGGGGTATGACTGCGTGTTGATGGCATGTCTTTAACTACTGAATTCTACAATCACCCTAAATTATGAAATTTGATAACAACAAAAAAAAAGGTTTGAAGAAATGCCTACAAATAGATTTGTCGAATCATCCTTCTGGAACTTTGATGCACTTTTCCAGCCACAACAACATCCTGCACGTGATGCTCACGACACCTTTTTCTTAAAAGGTAAAGGATATGTGATAAAGAACTAGAAGTGGCGGTGAGATTTCATATTATAAGTCTTTATCGGGCTAACTGCTTTATCGTTTGTCAGATCCTGCAAGGAGCACAAAGTTTCCTGCAGGCTATTTGGAACGTGTCAAACGAGTTCACTCTGTGGGAGGCTACGGATCGATTGGATACGGATACGACTGGCAGATCGCGGAAGCAGAAAAACTCATACTGCGCACACATACGACAGCAGTGTCTTCTGCTATGCTTTACAAGCTGGCGAATCAGGAGGAGTTTCGACCTGCCAAGTATTTCTCAATCGATAGAGTTTTTCGCAATGAAAGTGTCGACGCAACGCATTTGGCAGAATTTCATCAAATAGAAGGTGTCATAGCTGACAAAGGCTTAACGTTAGGAGATCTAATTGGATTTATGAACACCTTTTTCGGGAAAATGGGTGTGTACATAAACTTTGTATAAACCAATGTATTTTTTTTTTTGCGTGTTCAAGGTGGAATTTGCTTAATCATAATAATTTGATACAGGTGTCAAGGATCTTCGTTTTAAGCCTGCGTATAATCCATATACGGAGCCGAGCATGGAAATCTTTTCTTATCATTACGGTATTGCCGTTGTTCAGTTATCCTAACCCGACACTTTTTTGATTTTTAAAAATTTCTAATCGCTCTAACTCTGGCCTCTCTAGGGCTTAAGAAATGGGTTGAAATAGGTAACTCTGGAATGTTCCGTCCGGAGATGTTAGAACCTATGGGATTAGATCCAGATGTACGCGTGATAGCCTGGGGGTTAGGTTTGGAAAGACCAACGATGATCAAGTATGGAATTGATAACATTCGAGAGGTAAATATGATTTATCAAATTTAACACGCGACTTGACGTATAAACATAGAAATAACATATAATTGTGAATCTTTTCACTAGCTACTCGGCCATAAGGTTAACCTTGCCATGATTCAAAGTAATCCAATCTGCCGACTAGATAAAAAGATGGGGAGAGAAGCTCATGCGGAGGAAGAAGAAGTTAATCTGTAGTTCATTAAGACGATTGCTATATGTTATGAAAATGGAATTGGAGTAGAAAAAGATGAACAAAAGCGGTTGAGTTATATCAAAAAGCTGCTGAACAAGATCAACGCACTGAACAAGCTGAAAATAAATGGCCATCTACCATCTTTTGATTTAATTTAACCATAACGTATCGATTCCCAAGTAATATTTCGCGAAAATATTCGATTATATCGGATAGCAGGCAAAAGCTCTCTGTTAAATCCGTCTTGATATTTCCTACGGTGTTCTCACTTCAAATTAGATGAGGTCGTCATAGACTTTAATCACATTTCCTGTAAACTCCTTGGAGATTTATCGCGTGTTATTCCTACCATTACATACATAACTCATCAAGATGGCAGCCCGGATCTATCCACGATTCACTAACGCAGAATATTTTATAACGACAATGTACAATTTTCTGTAAAACACTACGTCTATTGATAGTAATAGGCTTGATTGCGTTACTTTTTGTTCCCGTACATAACCGGTGTTACAATAAAAAATCTTATCAGCTTCAGGGGCCAAGAAACATAAAAACTAATAAAGGAACGCAAAACTCCAACAAAACATAAAATTTTTTCTCGACGTGTTAATGTCCGTGCCATCATAGTGATGAGGAAATACCAATAGAACAGCCTGGATACCGAGAACTTATTGTTATTACTAGCGGTATTAATACCAGCGTTGGCGATTAGAATAATATTGAAGTATTTAAAGTCTTGTCACAAACAGAACAATATAGACGTAAAGCCTTATACAATATCAGATGTTAGCAAAAAAGCTGGAAACGTAATCGTCCAAACGTACTCCTTTTGTTCTTTCGTAATACATAGCCTCTAAAAGCCAACTTTCAACTCGTAGGGCAACTTTTCACAAACTTCCCATTGTTTAGAGCCTAAACGTTTAAGCACTCTTTAAAATACATGATCAAAACAACAGTTATTTGCAGAGGCGAACCAGTTGTCTCTGTAACGTTTATCTACACAGTCTCTGGAATAATAAAACAATCCATTAGTACAGTTGATCAGATCGAAAACTGACATATCTTCAAAACCAACAAACCTTCAGCGGTAGACTTTCGATATTAAATTCTTGTGTGAGCACGATTACCATTGTGGTCTACGGTGTTGACATTGAAAAAAAGGGTTGTAAACCACTTCCATTAACATCAAACTTTTTGTTTTTATCCTATTCATTAGCAAGATGTTTCAATCATAAACCTTTAATAGGATATAATGCAATCCAATCGATCATATCTTTTGGCCTAGGATGGCATGTTTATGACAATAAGCACTCCCATTTAACTGTCAGGTGCATGTGCTTATTTTCGGTATGAGTGAATATCGAAATCATATTAATATGGTAATATATTTTCGATTTAGACGTCTGAATTAAAATCCAACATGGATTTGCTTACGAAGCTAACCAAAAACGCCTGCGAATAGATATGCTTGTTCGATTACGCAATTCTATGTTCATTAACTATGGGTGCTGACAGATTTGGCAAGGAGGTAAGTTAAAAGGGCGGTAGGTGCTCATAAGCTCCTGCCAAATAAAGTGGGGTTTCTTTATTGTTTGATAAATTATTGCAGTAGAAACAATAAGATTCTATTCGTTTAATGTTCCTGTTTCTGTTCCGGTTTTTCATTTTCCCAAATTTTGGGTTGGTAACAAAATGGACACAACATCAAAATAGACACGTATCAACTCCTACAGAAGACATGTCAGCACTAAGTGCTGCTACAGTACTGCTTGTACCGCTGCTGTGAGGATGCTTGTACCATGCGCGCTGGTGTTACTGCACCGTCGGGGGTAATGCAGAAATTCAGGAGAGAATACGTTTATAGCGTAGCATCACACATTCAATGTTTTTGTCAAGAACATTATTAAGGGAACTACTTTACGATGTAAATCCTTGATCCTGCAGAGTGGATTTTGCTCGTAATGACGCATAGAAGGAAATATTTTCTGAGGTAAACCTAAAGAAGATAGTAAGTCCAAATACATTTTACAACCATTTTTAAACTACAATCTCACTTACCAAGCGCAACATAGGCATATACCATACGATCTTCAAAGGTATAAAGTTAAGTATTGCAACGTGATATTTCATTGCAACTGCTCCCTGATGTTTGCGGGCGCTCCGGATACCCCAACAAGACAAGTACAAGTTCCAAATTCACTGTCCACAATATAGAAAATATCATCTTGGCTTGTACTAAGAACTGAAAATTCGTTTCTTTAACAGAATTCCTTCCCCAAAAAACGGTTTGCAACACGTAAGTGTCCAGGATGTTTATACGCAATTCCAAGCAGTCTCCGCTCGTAAAATCTCTCCATTTTGTTACTACAAACTGAAATACTTGTACTAAATTATACGCTTTCTTATTATATCTTTTAAGATGCCGAAACTTCATTCAACGTAGTTGTTTGTGTTATTTCCGCGCGCAGGCAATCCAACTCGAAAAGATAGTGCCCAAAATTGACGATGCTCCCACAAGAGCTCAAAATGTTTTCGTAGAAGTGGATAATCGTAATAAGCATTCTTAAAATCATTAAAATGCGCATCCATCTCCGGACCTGATGATGCATAAAGAATTTTCTTTATCTTCTCATTATAAGTGCTCGATCCTCCTTCTTAATATTAATATAGTGTTTCGAATCATGAAGCCATCTCCAAAACGATTGAAGAATGTGAAAAGTGCATAGAAGGTGGATCCCTGCGATAAATTTCGATCGGAAAAGGATAAGGAATTAGGTAAAGAACAAAGAAATAATAATATAACGGCTATAAAATTCGTTGGGAACTTATTCATCGAGTTTGAGTTCAACTTAAAATTCATTAATGATTCTTATTGAATCATTCGTGAGAAAAACAATCGGATCTACCTGGGCCGCGTCCGAAAAAAGGCATACAGTCAAACCTCTTTATACCGATATTCTTTATACCGATAAATTTCGTTTACACGAATCAGTCCTATTATATTGTACTGTTATAAAGAAGGCCTCTGATTATACCGATAAAATGGCCGGTGCCACTCGTATCGGTTTGACTATATTCAGGAAGAATCGTTTTCAATAATTTTCTCGAGTTCATCTGAAGTTATAAATAGCCCAAACCGATTGCGCAGCTAGTATAGAGGAGAGTAATCGATGTGTTAAGGAGTTCGAATGAAGCCGAGGCGTCCTATAACATAACTCGCGCGTTTGTGGAATTTTCTCATGCACTCGATACATAAGACCCGTTACAATACAAAGTATAAATGCCTTTCCAGTATCGTCAAATTCTTGCAACGCCGCTTTACTCCAACCTGAATTGTTGTATTCTTTGACTATACAATTTAAGTGCTCAAACATCGATTTTCCATTACGACTGCCAAGTGCAGTCTCGCGATATTTTCGAAAGATGGAGAACATTGTATCATCGGTTTTACAAGGAATTGAACTGCGTGGCGCTGATAATGATTGTGGCGCTTAGTTGAACTGTGGCACCTGCTGTGTGGCATAAATATAAACTACTCCGCGTCCCGTTGGAATAGGTAAATTTTTTCCCCCATCAAACACCAACGTGCACCAACGAGAGAAGACCAAGTGGAAGGTAGACGCTTATATTACTATTGCTGCTGCTGGTTGTGCTCGTCGTGTTGCAGGATTCTTGATTCGTAACTTTCAACTGTGGTAAAATTAGGCCTTACGTGATGCACAGGCGGCTTTTTTCGCGACCTTTCATTTGGTTGCATGACAGTTCACCTTTCTCCATGAAAGTGCATTATGTGCCTCCTTTGTGGAAGTGTGCTTTTTTTTTTTACCCTCTTGCTCAAATGAGAGTCACCATCCAGGTCGTGGATGTGTCATCTTCACCCTTCACTATGTTGAAGTGCCCCACCCCTTCCACGCGTGAAGGTCACCCTCCGTTTATTGGAGTGCAATCACACTCCTTGTGCCGGCGAAGGGAGTGTGATCAATTATCCCGTTCCAATATCGGGTCGTCGGGGCCACCATCCAGCCCATGGATGTGCTAACCTGGTTTTTTATGTGCCTCCTTTGTGGATGTGTATTTTTTTTTTACCCTCTCGCTATGAGAGTCGTCATCCGAGTCACGGATGTGTCATCTTCACCCTTCACTCTGTTGAAGTGCACCCACCCCTTCCACATGTGAAGGTCACCCTCCGTTTGTTGGAGTGCAATCACACTCCTTGTGCCGGCGAAGGGAGTGTGATCAATTATCCCGTTCCAGTATCGGGTCGTCGGGGCCACCATCCGGCCCATGGATGTACTAACCTGGTTTTTTTCTTTATTTTGTTTTTTAAGATCGATCGCCCCAAGAACCATCCCCCTTGTACGAACGGAGGACATGTTGCGGGACGGCGGGATGTATTTGCCTTCATGGAGGACATTAGATGGAGTCACACTAGTAAATGATCATAAACGTATTTAAAGGCGCGTTCACGTGTGTTTTAATACACGTAATAATCAAGCTTTCGCTTCATATTCATAGCTAGTGAAGATGGAGACGGTAATGAAAATGTTGTGAATGTATTCGTGTCTGGAAAGACATTGTCGACGTACGTATGCAGAGTTGATCTATATTTTTTGCGATGTCGCTGCGATGCTAAAATATTATTTAATCTCAATTAGTCACTGGGACAGAGGATTGATTATTTTCACTTTCAGTGTCACCCGATTCACAGTACGTATATTGCTTGGAACTAACAAGACAAAGGTAATCGACAGATAGGGATCCCAAAGTATTGTCGACAGAGTAAGATGTGTTGTAAGCGTTGATGGTCGATATCATAAAATTAGTATTATCTTTTGACAATAAACTTTATTTGCAACTGACAAAAACGGGAGTATAATATAGTAAACATAGTTGTTACTTTAACATGCACGTATTATAATTTGGACACTGCCCCTGACGAAATAATTGGCCATTCATGAAAATTAGAACATTTTTGACCGTTTTTAATGAATTCATAGGAATTTGTTGAAAAAAAATATGATCATCACATTATCGGGTCAGACTATATCTCCCTATGCAGACATAGTCACGCATTATTATGTAACTGGTCGGCTTCAAATATCTGTCTTTATATTGCAGAATAGTTCCAAAATCTAGCGACCAGCATTAACTAAATCATCATCTAATCCGTCATCTTTCTCAAAAATTTCAAAAATACTGTCCTTATCATGGAAATTATTATGCACTATGTTGATCAAATACCAGTTTTCCGCAATGTCACTAATTAACTTTGCAGACCCGGAACCCTCTTCATATAATTTCGACCATTCGCTCCAGAGGTCAAAAGCTTCGTCCTAGTTTCAATCAAAAACAATGTGAGAAATACAAGCGAGCGATTTATTCCATAACGACAGTGTATATATATACCTTCCATGCCATGAAGCTAACGGCTTCGACAATTGTTGGTTGTACTATTTCTTTACCCGGAAATACACCCCACGTAACAGCATTGGGGCCATCACTTTGAGTGTTTGTCTTTAGGTCACCCTAACAAGGACAAGCCGAAAATTAGAAAACATTCAATTAAACGTTAATCGACATGTAAAGAAATAATAAACGAATGATAACCTGTTTGTTTACGGCATAATAAGTTATATTAGGATCACACTCTATTCTTGCTATCAGCGCATCAATCTTTGCTGGTGCCACGAAAAATTCGAGATAAGCCTGAAAATTGGGGGGGGGGGGGAGCAAGTTAACCAACAGTCGATATTATTCCAACTTTATCATTGCTACAGTCTCAACACTCTACCTTCTGATACACATAACCATTCTTAGGCCCCCATCCGAAAACCTTGTGATCACTACGAACACCATTGACGGCGGGCTGAGAATTTATTGTCAGATAGCCTAATGAATTAATGTATACCAAATTGTCCTTTATGACACTCGACTCCTCTGCCAATGCTTGATCAGACCACGGCAATGCTTGCAATTCTCCATTGCAGTATTGAACGAAGAGATCAAAAATGTCTGTAATTGTTTGTGGATCTCCCCATAGATCAATCGCTTCCTGTTTCTGTAAGAATAAGGTATGTCAGTACTACTCGTTTCAGAAAAGCTGAATGATAATATCATTATCTACGAAACCTACCGTATGCTTCAGTGATATTCCATAGCCACCTAGTTCTCCAAAAGCTAAATAATTGAGCGGCAATATCAAATTAGATAATGATGAAAATACTAATCGTGATGCGTAACCAAAAGTATTACATACCGGGTCAACATGCGTCACCCCATCTGCCATTAGGAAATTCATCCCAGGCTTCAGTACGCGCGATATAACTTTTCGTTCGGTTTCGCCAGAATATTGGCCGTACGTTTTCTTTTTTGCGTTTTGCAGCCAGACTCTATTGGGGGGGGAAAAAGTAATATGAGATACACATGTTACGTGAGTAATAAAACAGTTATATTAATAGTAGTAGTAGCAGAGTCTAATATACGTACTGGAACCCAAGGCAACGGCTTGGCTTTTTCTATAGGTGGCACAAAGTTTAACTTCTCGAGAATTAATCTGGTTGATCTCTCTAAATTCATAGTATAAAAATGATAGCCCTTGATTCCATGGGCATACATCTTCTTTATCATTTCCACAGTCAGTTTTATACCGTATTCTTTTACGGCTGCATCATCCTCCTTGATAGGTTCCAAATCTTCCAAGATATATTGAGGAACAATGGTCTTGCACAGAGCAATAATTCTTTTAAAACCAGCATAGTTCTGAATGGGAATAATGCCTGGAATTATTGGACAGGTGATGCCAATCGCACGGCATTTCTTTACCCACTCTAAGAACAGATCTACGTCAAAGAACAGTTGAGTGATAATAAAGTCTGCACCCGCGTCCACCTTCTCCTTCAATCGGCGTAGATCGTCTTCCTTATCCGGATTATCAGTATGACCTTCACAATAACCAGCTACGCAAATGCCGAAATAATCTCCGTATTGTTCTCTAATGTACTTGACTAGATCTACGGCATAGGAGAAGCCATTCTCGCATGCTTCCCATTGCTCCTGTCCACGGGGTGGATCGCCACGAAGAGCAAGAATATTCTGACATCCGGCTTCCTTTGCATCCTATTAAATCGGAAATGTTAAATAAATGAGATGAATTAGTGCACACTGCATACTACCAGCATATACCAAATAAGGAAAATCTATCGCCAAATAAATATTGAAAGACAATTAACTCACCTTGAGAGCTTTTTCAATCTTTTCTTTTGGCATATTGGTACAAGTCAGATGCATAATCGTCTCCAATCCGTACACCGACTGTGCTATTGCAGTAATTTCTGTTGTCAAATGCGACGAGCCTCCGCCAGCGTTCCATGTTATATCGATAAATTCGGGCCCCAGTCTATACATCCGTTCCATACGATCATAGAGATTTTGCACCGCCTAGTATAATCAAACCGTTATATCATGAGCAATTTCGAACAATGTAGAAGAAAACAGCAAGGATGGGAAAGAATGATTATCGGGCAAAAGCTGTGTCGTCTGCTGGGGTATCAAACACAAGTGACATGCAACTCAAGATATAGTCGCCTGGGGGGGTAATTGAATTCCCTCGTTTTCGTCAGTTTGCACAGACGACGCGTTCAGTTATACGGCTCAGATATGCTGTTTGCTGTAATGCGCTAGAAAATACTTCACCTGCTGGGTTTTTGGAGGGAAGTATTCGAAAGACCAGTAGGGTCTATCTTCCTCAATAGCCTTAAGTAATTTGTATATTACTTTCATATTAATGCTAATTTATATGAATATTGTCTTGTTTTATGGTGATATGGCTATAGTTTACAATGCGTATTGTCTATTGGTACAATGCAATGCATCTAATGAATGGGGAATGCGGTCTTTTTGTAGCAACTTTGGTTTCCACCAAAAAAAATTTTTTTTAAAATTTGCTTTCCAAGGTTGGGGGCGGGTAAGATAAGATCATGATTTCATTTATCAGACTACTCTGCATATAGATACATCTCACGTGATTTTTATTTGGGGGCGCTGATCGTTACCGAGTTGAGGGTAGAAGAAACCCCGAGTATGTTACTCGGATAGATGGTTGGCCCCAAATTCCCTTTATAAGGTTTCATTTTCTAACGAGATGGAGGAGAGATTAAATTCTATTAATTATTATGTTTTCAAATAGTGCAAAAAAAAAAAGAGTTTTCTATATACGTACAATGGCGGGTGGCATGTAACCCTCATAAAGCAATCCAAATGCAACCTTCTGCACACGGGTCCTGTTACAGGAAAATCCGGTTAAACGGTTATCGCAAAAAACCTTCATTATCATTATTGCAGGGCTGTCACTAAAGGGAAAATCATTCAACAATCAATAGTGTAACGTACGTAATCGAATACGTGACTATTGGGAGGGTCGGCTGGAACGGTAATAATAATAAATAATCATTTGCATTTTGCTGTTTCAGTACTATCTCGTTACATTGTGCATATCGGATTATCTGATCAACCGTTCTTATCAAAGTCTAAAATAAAAGGTCGTCCCCTAATTGCAAATACGTAGTCATAATGACGACATGCTGTAAAACTGTTTCAGAGGTCAAAATTTTAGTCAGCCTAATTATAATGAACCAATGGTAATGGCTGTTTGATTTACTACTTCATTTAACAAGCATACTGTGAACGGTGAAATTTCCTATATTTCTGCGATACTGCGGATATTCGATTGAAACAGTTTGTAGGTGCGCGCAAAAACCAATGTAATGTGTCCCATTATATCAAATGTTTTAATCGATTACGATAAATTAATATTAATGTGCGTTAGTTTTTGATTAAAGTCTCGATGCTCAATGTCAATCCGTAAAACCTTAAGTAATATTGAACTTCAATAATAATGGATTGCAAAAAAATTTAGAGCTCGATTTCATGTTACGCAATATCAAACAGGGTATGATAAAATCGACGATGCCATGCGATTTTCACGTTGCTTCAGTGATACCTCGAACGATCGAATTATGTTGGGCTCAAAAATTACAATGGCATTTCATATTTGGATTGTGAATTAAAGAGTATTTTAACATTAATAACAATATAGAAGAAACATCCCGGCTTTAAACGTTCAAATTACAGGTAGTTGACTTCATCAATGTAAGGTTTCATTCCGATATATAGTGGGATCTCCCTAAGTGCAAACCCCCTAAGTACAAGCCCCCGCGCACGGTTAACACGAGGGGACCTATGATTTAGTTATTATCACGTTTTGCTTTCAGCCCCATCTATAGTAACAGTATTTCTATTGTAATGCACCTCCCTAAATATAAATGCGCGGCATGTGATTAGATTTTACTAATACACACTTAATAATGAACAGAAGTCAGAAACCAAATACTAGTAATGTTGACCTTGCCAAGTGGATAAAGCTTGTTGTCCATTCGAATCTTTGTGTCGTCATCATTCCGAGCTTGCGGGAATAGAGCTGCATCGCCCGCCAATTTCCGCATAAACCCGAAAATTGTCCCGGGGTAATGCGCCTCGAATGCAATCGTACATAATCTTCACATGAAATATCATATGATCATCTAATGCGCGTAATATACACTGTACGCGAATTGGAAACAATAACCCACACATTTTATTTACTAAAATCGGACATGGCGAACTATTTTCTGATACATACAAGCGAAATACCTCAAACTTGACCACCAATGTCACTCAGACATCGTCTGAAGAGCTGAAACAACTGCACTGACAATCGTCGGCACGAGGAATTTAGCTACTTTCGAACGGAATGTGGCTTCTCCTACTAATAATTATTTCGTACAATGGATTTTATGTCAAATTCTGCGAATCGTATATCGTGGGAGACATATTATTGGCTGGTTTGTACTGTAAACAGCGCTTTCGCCCACTGGCACTCGAAGGTGTATTCTAATATCGCAAATATGAAATGGATAGAATGGTGCAGCACAATATAAAGATTTTTGATATACAAAGAGTTAACAAGGATTTATAAAATTAATAAAGGCTATAACGGTGAATCCCTCCCATAACATGCATTCGTCTTACACCATATGGCATCCAATATAGGTTTGGATATCACAGATGGGGCATTAGAGGCGGGTGATTAGACGGATGACACGGGTGATGAGACGTTTGTTTGTAATTGTCGCGCTTGATTGCCAGACAGTATTTTCTTGGCATGACAACTTATCCAGCGACTTTTCGTAATCAACTTCGCGCGTGGGGAAGATGGCAGTAGATCCGAATGCATTCATAGATCTGAAATTGAATCATCGGAGAGCCCCAAATTCAACTACGTTTCCAATCCACTCTGCAACTGACAAAATTTTCTTTCCCAAAAATTCATCCAAATGATATAATTCGGTATTATCTAAATGCTGGAAAAACTGGTCAGATCAAAGCTAGTTTGTTAAGGATAAAGAAAAACTACCTGACAACAGCCATTACCTTTACAGCTTGGTTGTAGTATTACATTCCATACATGGCAGTTATACCATTTTCCATTTCCTTCACCCTGTAATTGTGAAAACTGATGAGATCCATATTAATATACTGTGTGTTTGATAGCCACAAGGACAAAAATACTGTAAAAGGTGTTACTTCAATAAATATAAAGCATGGTACAGTGAAACTTGTTTATACCGAACGTGTTGGCATAGCTCTCTGTGTCCGGCCGGTATAGAGAGATTCCGGTGTATCTATAATCCATGTTGTGATGCTTTCTGTGGTCATAGTCGTTTTCAAAAATTGGTGCGTTAATGAGACCAGGTTAGTCGGCTAAGAGTCCTGAACAACCAAGAAACCTAAGAGGTTTTCACCGATCTTAGGACCGAGGAGGTACCCCACCATACGTATATTCTTAATAAGATAATCGTACTCACTTCTCGTATTTCTTGATTACGATACAATATACCCGATAACATTTGGAGTTCCCACAACAATCGGTGGGTCCCCACTCGGAATCATCAATAATTTTGTCTTCCTTTTCTTTATGTGTTTTGGTTTCTTGTGGGTGGGAAATTTCACTGGTCGGGTTTTTGTTCTTCGCTCGCTAAAAAACGGTTTGCGTCTTTTAACACTGTTATTTACGTGTGCGTGTGTAATTCACATGATCCATCTAATGAAACTTGGTAACACCTCATAATAATAACGAAATTTGTCACTGAAATCTCAGCTTATAATATGAAATTCAAAAGCTTGGTAATTTAATCTAGTATGATGACAACAACGTGAACTGACTTAGCAACGTGTCATCTTGACTGTCATTAACAAAAGCATTGTCAATTAAACTTCCCAAATGACATTCATCCAGCGCTAGTATGATAGGATTGAGCAATCGTCCAGATGCTGCTAAGAACAACTCTGGGTCTGTTATCTTATGCGACTCAAATTGCAGGGATGAAACCGAACCACAAAGAAGTAAGAGTCAGGTTCGGACCATTCTCAATTAATTCTCGGTAGTCAAGGGAAAGCACGATATTGGAAAGCCGTATGCTCTTGGTAACTAATTACTTGTCAAGGAGGATAGGTGAGACAGGAAACGTGGTTTACAAGTAATAATCTCTATATATAATATAGCAGATTAAATTAAGGTGAAAATCAATGGAATATTCTGTACATACTGAAAATGCTTATTATCGTATGCCTAGTCAATTAATGACCCAATGTCAACGCGAAGGTTTATTCGGGTCAAGAAAGAGTAGCCCATATTGAAGCAAATACATATCACGCAATCTCATGTAATATAATGTCATCATGAATACCATGCTTATTAATTGTTTTCGTTCGAGAATAAATTTTATCAATTTAAAATATTATCTGATTAAACCTCACAACTAACTACACATATCGAAGCAATAGTAAACATCTATAGCTATCGTATTTGTACCAACAGTTCTTAACTATCTTGTTGCCCCCCCAAAAGAAGAAGCATTATTGAGTTCTTCAACACGGCCATGTACGGATGTAAGTAGTATAATAAATAAGGACCACAGCAACAACTTGATAGACACACCGAGATGGTCTTATTTATTTACGTAGTTTTCTGCCACAACAGATGTAGCATCAGCATTCGCTAATAAACTTATCCGCACAGCATCGGAATCAATCTTCTTCTCCATACGTGGAATTTCAGTATTTATGGTACATGTAAATGAATGTCTTTTCCAGGCATCTTTTCTTGCAAAAGTCTTTTCACAGTGAGGACATCGATGCTGCTTCTCACATTTGTGAATACCATTAACATGACGCTTCAGATCATGTTTTCTCGTAAAGCGGTGCCCACACCCAAGGTAATCACACAAGAATGGTTTTACTCGGTGTGGGTCGTGAGTAGTGAGATGCGACTCCATATTAAACTTACGAGAAAACGGCCTATCGCACTTTGGACATGGATATAGCTTTTGTTTCGATCTATCGTCAACCATTTTATCAAAATCGATGACTGATTGTCGATTATCCTCAATCTTGGGAGCAATCTTGGGAGCTATTTTGACGACATTGTATTTTGTCGTAATCTCGGGTGTATTATTCATGCGAACATTAGTTGTATTATTTCTGCTATTACCGTCAACACTCCTAGGCTCGCCGTTCGCCATAGTCGTGAGATTCTCAAGGCTAACTTTGTTTGCTGCTGAATTGGTCGAGTTGGCTGAACTACTTGTAGAATTATTCATTCTTTCAGTCTCGTCATTCGACTCTTGTGCCTGTCTGGTAATCTTGTTTGAATTCGCTTGGCTATATGCCTCATCCTGTTCCGTTTCCGAGCTGACAGCGCCATCACTTGAGCGCTCAGTCTTTCTCATTTTATGCTTGGGTGATTCCGAGTTGGGAGTCGGAGGCCGGGGACGAACAGCAATAGGAGTAGCCCTAATTGGTCTAATAGGTATGGGCATGATGACTTCAGGTCTGTTTTGATCTGTCGTCTCGTGCGACTCCGTTGTTGTTTCTTCTATTTCAGCAGTTTCTCTTCGTGTAAAAGTTGCCATATTGTAAGCAGAATTGATGTTGCAATTCTACAACCTTATATAACAAAGTATAGAGGAGGCGTTTACTACCGACAGTTGCCGCAGTTTTGCTAAAGGCAAGACACTCAACGGATTGACGAACATCCAGCTTTTTTCGTCGATGACGTAACGCGTTTGGGCAAATCAAAATTTTTGTTTTCTTATAGAGAGTCAGCTCTCCTACGCCCAAAGTCTACGCCACAATGACTCTGCAACAACCTGCTACTGTCTCCGGCCTTGAGCACAATATATTATTCGAGTATGAAACCCTCGTGAGTAATGTCGAGAAGGTACATGATCTTGGGGAAGGATGTATCGATGTGAACGTGGTCAGATATACTGTTTTCCAATCAGTTCTTACAAGCTAATTATCCTTGTTGTTGACGCTGTCCCCTTCAAAGATGAACCATACTATTAGTCAGATGAATGGTACCGATGTCGTCTTGCTTGTCGATAAACTACGGACTCTTGAGAAAAAGGCTGGACTAGTTTATACTCTTTTCAAGGCTTCTGTATACGCTCTGGTAACATCCATTCAAGAACTTGACCTGAACGCTGAACAGGGCACCAACAGACCGGTCTTGTAAGGCGGAACATATTTTCATTGTAAATGTAGCCAAATAAAAGAGAAAGGGAACGTCTGCTATTGCGTTGAATGTGAGTGATTTTTTTTCCCCTTTATATAAGATGGGTCAAACTTTGAGCGAAGCAAGCAGCAAGTGTCCTAATTTCACGTGATGGAATGGATAAAAGTAAATGCTACGGCGAGTACTACAGTCACTGCTACGGCAAGCGCAGCGCGAGTTGAATTATTGGGTGCCTCGAATGTCTAGCGATTTTTGGACATCAGAGTTTCTTCAAACTTGAACGCATTTGTTTAATATTTGATCTATCTATTTATTGTTGTATATATTACAAAGCTCAAATAGTAAACATTTGAGAAATTAGTGCTTGAAAACGAAAATCAAAAATACTATACAATAGTATTAAATACATTCAGATTACAATAAAAAAAGATTGATTAGGAACGGGAAATGACAGATAACTCCACTTCTTCAGAAGATTCAGTAGTGTCCATTTGCCTGTCGTCTCTCTCTCTATTTGAGTTGTTAATCGACTGGCTTGGTGATGGATCACGACTCTGTCTTCTGCGAAATAGTGTAGTTGGTAATGTCCGGCTTCGACCTATTGACAGTGTTGATAGGAATGTCTGTCTTTTACTTGAGGTAGTAGTGGATATGCTGTGTGCTCTCTGAAGCTTTCGACGACTTTGTATTGGGTTGTATATAGATCTACGGAACGTCTCGAATGCACTTTCTTCCCCAGAAAATGCGAATCCAGTGAAAGATTCTCGCCTGCCTGTCGACATGTACATAAGCTGGTCGATCGAACGGACCGATGGCTTGCGTTGGTTCTTGTTCTTCAATTTGAAAGCTGGTAACTTCGAGAGTGATAGTATTTTTCTTGCTGTGCCCTGTTCCGGCGGATACGTGGAAGAATCGGTGAAAGAGGCCTCGCTCTCAACATCGGTTGGTAATACGGTACTAGAAATGGCTGTTTCGTTTTCAAAAGATGATTTCCGAGTGCTTGTAATCGGCATTTGCTCTTCTTCAATGAAGACAGTTTTGGTTTTCTTTGCTTTCTTCGTAGCAAATATTTGCTCTCGAATAATATCTGCGTCCATGGGATGATATGTCTGATATATGTATTTCACCAGATAACGCGGCAAAAGACTGACAAGTGTAGCCAAAACGATAGATAGCCAGAAATCAACCTGCGAGAATAATATTTCGTCAACTCTGAAGAATCCAATGGAATACCAAACAGCATATAGTTCGACCCATGCATAGAACGAGAGAATGCTGAGCCCAATAACCGTAAATGCCATCCAAGTCCAATTCATTGTGTTCAATCCGACATATAAATTGGTTGTCACCACTACAGCTCCAGCAACAATAGTTCCTAAATCTTCTAAGCTATTGCTTGTTAATCCGTTTTCGTGTGATGACCCGTATAGTAAAAAACCGAATGGTATGAAGAAACAGACGAGCGACTGATAAGTTGAATCCAATACGTAGAGCCAAAACTTTTTTCTGGTAAAGTCCTGTTGTAATATGCCACGTTTGTAAAGTTGCGGATATTCCAATGATGTTTTGGAATCAACATCTTGATCAAAGGCACCTGAAATGAAATGAAATAGAAAGCGTAAGTCCTCCGTCGTAGGAAATCAGCTAAAATCAACTTGTCGGTCGTAACCACTTACCGAGATACATGATGGGAATCGCGGTGAACGCAAGATTATATAGCATGATGTACGTATAGTCATACAAATACTGCGCACTGAATCTATAAGTTGACAATATGTGTTAAACATCAAGTAAACTCTTACATTTCTGTCTCAACTCGAGCTTTAAGAAAGGAAGAAATTTTTACCCTGCCCAAATTTGATACCAGAACATGGCAAAAGTCCATACAATGTTCTTATAAAAGAAGCACGAGATCATCTCAGCTATTCGAATATATGACCATCTCCCGTGCACAAGCAGAAGTTTTGTCAGGAATCTGAATTGAGCAAAGGCATAATCAGCAGCCATAACAGCTTGCCGACCTTCTTCGCCTGCAATTCCAATACCCACATTGGCCTCTTGAATCATGCTTACGTCGTTTGCACCTGTTAAAGGTGAATTTTTAGTAAATCGTTAGAAAAAAAAAACTCGGAATACACACATATCCCACACATATCCCACACATATATTAAACGTCTAATACCATCTCCTATAGATAAAGTCATAACATTGAGTCCATTCTTCACTAGACTCACGACTTTAGCTTTCTGCAAAGGACTGACGCGACAGCAAAGGACACTTTCACATCTCTTTCCCAAGTCCAATAGTAATGGGCTCAGGCTCTCATCCAAAGCGTGTTTCAATGTTTCACCATCAATGACTAAAGCATGCTTCTGGGAACTGTTCTCTGATCCAGAACCAAAGAACTTTTCAAGACTCTCTTTTAATTGTTTCTCGGTATTTTGTTTATCAGAGGCATGTACAATTATTAGGAGCATATCCTTTTGGAGTAGATTGCATGCGAACCCTATATTAATGGCAGTCTCGGTTTTATCTCCGGTCAATACCCATATTTTAATGCCAGCTGTAGAAAGGGTTGCTATACAGTTCGGAACACCATCTTGCAGACGATCCTCGATAGCAGTGCCACCCATTAGCGTGAGTGAATGTTCGATCATTTCGCACGCCTCTGCAACCTTCTCTTCTCGATCATTAATACTTGATGTTGCTTCTGCATATTTCTTTGACCATGCAGTGTATTCCTCTTCGGGAACAACACGGTATGCGATACACAGGGTTCGAAGGCCTACCATAAAATCGTTAATGAGCATTTATTTATTTTGCAGCGCAAACATATTACAAGTACACACCTTCATTAGCAAAGATTTCCAAGTCAGCCAAGGTGTCTTCCCTTAACTTGGATTGTCGTCCTTTTTCCAATCGTTCATATATGACGCTGTCAGCGCCTTTACATAGCAATACCACACCACCCTCTGGTGGTCTAACAATGACGGACATTCTTTTCCTTGTACTATTGAATTCCAATACGTTCAGTAGAGTAAATTCTTTTCGTTCACCCATCACATCTATGATCAGTGTATCTTGAACTCGATCAACAAATACGAATCCGACATCGCGTGCGGCGCCAAGAAGTGCTGCTTCATCAGGTGACTGGGCTTTGTACTCTAGTTCAAAGGGTTTATTTTCATCCGGACGCTCTGCAAGAACTGTATGACATAAAGCAAGAGCGGAAAAAAAGTCTTGGATGGCTCTTGATTGTTGGGTGTCTGAAGACAAGTCAACCATCACTCTTGAATCGATGAAGGTAAAGTTAGACGATAGATATCTATTGTCATAGAGTTTAGACATTTCCTCTAACATGATAGTTTTCTCATTCTCTAGATCTATTTCATCGCTAGGGTTGGATCCTGAGTCCAACTTTTCTTGCAGCTTGGCGCCTCGTGTAGCGTCTGTCTCACCCAATCCATATGCTACTCCGTTAATAGTACATTTCTTGAATTCCATGACGTTTTGTGTTAGTGTTCCAGTCTTGTCAGAAAAGATGTATTCTATCTGTCCTAAATCGTCAGATATGTTCCAGGTCTTGGGAACGCAAGGGAGATTGAGTTTTTCATAATACATCTCGATATCCGAATGGATGAAATAAGCCTGCAAAGTTCAAAATGATGGATATTTGTGACTATTTAATTACGTGCAATATACTACTGTAAAGATAACATTTACCTGAACGGTCTTGACCATTTCTATGCTAATGTATAATGAGATAGGAACGATATTCTGGAATAGAATAAGACTTGCCCTATAATCGATTAGGTCAGAAAGATTAATAGTTGATCGGGTATCAAACGTAAAAGAAAAGTTATCGTTGTATCCTACCAAAAGGTGAGAAAGGCGCTTCCTGATCCATCGTCGCCCGGTTCAAAAAAGTCTTCAGAAGTGATTGGTGGCAGAAAAAAGACAGCGTCTGCAACGGCAGATCCCAGACACATGAGAAAAAGAATAATAAAATTCATAGTAACCTAAATAGAGACATCGAGTGAGCAATAGTAAACTACCAATGACGTATATCAACGGCAAGTATCTCAAAAACCTACATGAAAATTCGTTTCAATTTCGATGCGACTTCTCTTGCTAGGAGTATCTCCAGAATTCAACATAATTTTAGTGTCAGTGCCAGTGTAAATAACCAGTCCAACAGCCCACTCAGTATTACGGAGAACACAGCCTCGCAAAAAGACATTGTTTATTGAAATAGGATCAACTTTGGAGTCGTTGGACTGAACACCGTTCTCATCGACCCATCGCAAAACGCCTGTGTAAGAATAGAGATTGGAATGAGGTGGCTCGGATTCCACATAGAATGTCGCTCGCTCATAATCAGCCTCATTCTCAAAGGATGAAGTTGACGAAAGGCAATGACGCACTTTTAGATTGGTTTCGCCATCAAGGTTCTTCGTCTCAACGTAGCATAAACCATCGGGCTCGCTCGTGGATAAAATAACCATATCCGCTGGAATGTCGTCGTCGTTTTTTAATTTCACTATATCACCAACTTTAATATCTTGCCAACGCGTTTCAGCCCAACGAGCAGTATTAGTATTAGGCGACTCTCTTACTACTATCTTGGGTATTCCCTTTGTTAAGTTGGAAGAATTTTGTCCCTGTTCAGCAAAAGATGTGTTGTTGTCCGGACTATTCCTTTGATTAGTATCGGATTTATTAGCGGCTTTATCCAGTATTGAACTTAATAGTGTAGAGATTGTCGTCCATGCTCTATATAATCGTTTTTTCCACGTATTTCCACTATCCGTAACGTTAACGTTCTGCCAATCCGAAAGTCTTGTAGCGAGCGATCTATTTAGTGTGTTGTCCTGCTGACGACGCTTCCAATCTTCAATTGCATCTTTCACACCAGTTATGATAATAATGGTGGCAAGGGGTGTAGCAGCCATAACTGGGGAAACGTCACCACTTAAAGACGGAAAAGTCTGAAGAATTAC